TTTTCTTTTGTTACACACACACACCCATACATACACACACATACACATATATGTATGTATGTAGAGCTCTCTGCCTGTTCAGCACGTTGCCATAAATGTGAAATTGTGTAGAACGCAGTTGCGGAAAAGTGTCTGGGACTGCCGGATCCCGCTTTGAATTGATTGTGAGCAAATATAGACACGACGCAGACGAGACGTCACTTACACAGGGAGGAATGGAATACGTAACCACCTCTGTAGGAAATGCGTTGCTTTACCCCTGAAGAAGATATGCCAATATGTAGGGTTAACCAAAAGCTTGCTCTCGTCTCTATCCCTTTTGTTTCTATTTCCGTACAGCTGTTCTTTTCGCTTACACGTGACTGTGATTGACTCGTCGTCAGGTGCGCGGTGCTCTAAAGGAGGTGTAACGGTAATGAGCTTGTCGCACACTAAGTTTAAGGTTGAGAGAGAGAGCCAACAGCTGTGAATGGCGGCCGCCATGTTTTGAGTGAAGTGAGGCAGTGGATGTTTAAGTGGGTAGGGCATAGGGGATTGGGAGATGGGGTGAGCTGAATAATATATGTATTGTGCTGCCCGACGGAGCGACGACTATGTGTGACTATGCATATTGATAATCTCCGTTAGATAGCAGGCGGACATTTTGAATGGGGCCTGGTGCATGGTAAATAATTAAAGTTAATTGAGTTTTAGAGTTGTCATGTGCACACACACACACACACGCACACCCACCGATAAGCATAGATGTACATTTCCTGCCTATTTTGAGAGCCACTGGCACCCACACACTGGGGCGTGCTCCACATCTTGTTGGAGATCGAAATAATCCCCAACGAATTATACGAGAACTTTGCCAAAACGGGAACTACATACGTAATACTGCCTGCCCTCCCCCCACCCTCTCGTATTACTCTGATCAAAAGCTCTCTCTGTCTCTCTTTCTCTATGTAGACGATGCCCAGCCCCCCCCCCCCCCCCCCCCCCCCCCCCTTACCCCACCTTTAAGACCATGCGATGACTACATGATGTTTATTTTTGTAAATGCTGAACAACACGAAAAAAAACAACAAAAGAAGAAGAAAAAATATTAACAGAAACACATCTAAACAAAGAGCTTTGCTTTGTTAACGAGTTAGAGAAATGTGTGTATACATATTTTAATTTGTTGCCTGATTGAAGCGATAAAAGAAACGCAAATTCCATCAAAACCAAAACACACAGTACATACCAGTCCCCACCCTGCCAAGGATATGATATCCTTCTACAGGGTAAACAACCCTCGGATCAAAATGAAATTCTAAACAAAAAGAAAAACAGCAGTCAAGGGGTGGTGGAGGGGTACGGAGTGAGGGGAGAACACCAGGCGAGACATCTACATCTCCTTCCGCTATCCCATGGCGCCTCCTCTCCTGAAACCATCGACATTTTGCTAACTCTCTTCTCACCCGAAATCAGCTGCGAATATTTTTTTGGTGGGTTCATTGGCTCGTCGACTCTCTCTCACTCTCTCTCTCTAGCACTCTCACAGTTACGCTCTTCATTTTGTTGTTTTCTTCTTGCTCGCACACGTTGTTCAAAGTCATTCAACCCAGCAACAAAATAACGTAAAGTAAAACGCAATAAGGAGAGCGACGCGGAGGTGGAGGAGGAGTACCATAAGAACAGAAGCAACAACAACAACAACAACCACAACGGGAAGGAGAACGGGAAACGTCAACGGCAGCAGCGTCGATGGGGTCACTGAGCGTTGCCACTCTCTCCCACTCTCACTAACACCCCCATCCCCGTATCTCCTCCCACCGTCATCACGTTTTGCGAGAGTGAAATTTGAAAATATAAGGCGTAGCAAAGTCCGCTGATGGAATGCGTCAAGTGGCTGGCTGTCCGCCACACACTCCCCCCCGCAAAGAGCCCCAGGATAAGATCATTGCCACACAGTTAAAGAACCAAAAAGTACATAGAAGTTCCTGATTCTTTATCAGCCCCCAAGTAATTTATGACCCTGAATTGTGGTCAGGCACTGCACTCGGAACTGAAACCCGAATCTGGAATAGTCACCATAAGGGGCGCAGCTTCTGATAGGCTTTCTGGCTTTTGATTGTTTGCTTATCTCGAGACCCGACTCTCCCCGCATAACCGACGCTATGCGTTTCGGTGACTCCGAAGATAAGGCTCCCTTGCGGTTCGGGTCGGTTCGCTTCGGTTCGGTTTCTCGTTATCGCAGATAATTAAGCCGAAGAACTGTTTGAGAAGTGCTGAACGGTTGACAATACTTATGGCTTCATTAACTGAATGGAAAACCATAAAAAAGGCAAAAGGAGGCCATCGCAAGGAGAGGGGGGGCAGTGGCCTCCCACTAGGGAAAACCTTATGTGTATTTTATTATGTTTGCATTTACTTTAAGGTACATACATATGTACATAGTAAAACAAGGTTGAAAGTACACACAGATGTGTGCTGTACCGCATGCAGTGCTGTCTGCTACGTGTTCTACATGACAATTGGGGGGGATATGATGATGGGAACCTAGATGATTGATACAGAATGCGGCAGATGCGGGCATTCGTTAAATTGAAAGCTAGTCCCCTAGCACGTTCATAGGACAGAATAAGCGACAGCAGCTGTGCTCAACTATTATTGTGGCCGCTGCTGTCAAATTAGGCAAAGCTTCTTCTCTGGAAAAATGCATAATACCCCCTCTGGATGGGTCTAACAAAAGTGATTTAACAGCGCGACAACAGGATAATTTCCGCAAGAGAGTAAGCAAATGTTAAACATGCTCTCTCTTCTTTCTGATCTCCTCCTTTCAGCTTTGTTCCGTTGATCCAAAGATCTAACATGGCTGCCTGCGTTACATGGACAGAGAGAGAGGGGAGAAAACTGTAAAGTCTACACTGAAAAGATCTTTGGAATGCTTTAATGGTTCGCATTGTATTTATTTATTTATTTATTTTAAACAAATCAATGCGAATATTAAATCAATATGGATGAGCGAACACACACACACACACAGACACACACACACTCACTTGCGGGGACAAACTGTCAACTGTTTTAATACGATTTCCTTTGTTCTTTGGGGGCTGCGCAAAAAGGAAATGGAAATGAAAGCAAGGATACAGCAGAGCCAAGCCAACGCGAACAGTGCTGCGCCCCCCCTCTCTGGCTCTTTTGGCTTTAGCAGTTTCTTTGTCTGCAGCACACATACAAGCACATCAGCTGATTGGGGAGAAATCTGTGTGTGTCTGTCTGTGGCTCTGAGGCGCGCTGCAAATACAAATTGAAATGAACGCAGTGAAACGTGAATTGAAATCATTTACTTTTGCAGTTCGGTTTGACCATATAAAGAGAAGAATCATTGAAGAACGTTGCCAAGAACACACATACATGTATATCGAGTATATAAGGCCATGTATCACTGTGCATGCTTTGTTTACTCAAGGCCTCTACTTACTGGAGAGAGCGAAACAAGTTTCGAGCAATCTTCAAAGAGAATTTCTAACAAAATTCCCCCCATAAAATATCTCGGACACGTCTTCCGGACGGACCTCTGTCCCCGCATAAAGTTCAAAGCAATTAAACACAATTCCCGGGATGGGATCCATTATGAATATTTCACTCGAGCAAAAGGAATGTCCAATCAAAATGGCCGACTTACCTTTTTTTAAACAAGAAGATCGGGCAAAGGCAGAATGCACAATTTCCACACTTTGTTGTAAAATGCTGGTGTTGCAGTTGTTGTTAATTATAATTTGTTGCCTTATTTAGACATGATTGCAGTTTATTTTGGTTGCAGATATTGATTTGATTTGCTGCTTTGGTGCGGCGCTGCTGCTGTTGCTGCCTCCCACACACAGCCCACACAAATATAAACACACAGGCACGCACACACACGAAGCCTCTGCTCAGCTGTGCTGTGCTTTGTTGCTGCTTCCTCTCTTCCTTGTGCCTTTCATGTGCTGGTACTGGTGCTGGCGCTGGTGCTGTGCCTTCCGTCCGTCCGTCTAAAACCGCATACATTGATTTTTTCGCTGCATTTTAAACACCTTCTTGGCCTTCATTTCGTATTAATATTTTATATAACACATCATCAGCCTTTCTTTGCATTGCACACACTTTTGCTCTCTCTTAACACTTCCACTTCGCTTCTTTTCACTCCTTTCCGTGAACAAACTGAAAAAAGCACGAAGAAAACGGATCTTGCGCGTTTCGCTCCTCGACCACGTCTCACCCGCACGCAACGCTCCTCTAGTAGTTGTCTTTATTTATTTATTCGCTAAAACTGATCGTTTTCGTGTACGCCATTGCCACTCACTGCAGCAGCCACACAGCTGAAAACGTTGGTGCAAGAAATGCCATCACAGGTGCAGGCTGCCAATACCGCTGCATCTAAGCCAACAACTACGCCTTGATGCAATTTAGATGCCGAAATAGGCATAGTTACGCTCACACACACGCACGTCACCGCGATTATGTTTAATTAATTGTTTATTATTTATCTGATAGCTCAGACACAGTGTGACCGCGGACTTATCGTTAAACTTTACCGTCCGACCCTCAGAAATATACCAAAATATACCGTCTCATTTTAAAAATATACCGTAAATATAGTGACGAATTAAAGTTCCAGTATACATATTCCTCGATCTGATATTCCGAGAAATATTACTAGCTAGAGGGACCTCTCAGCTTAGCCCACATAATTTTATACGATTGATGAATCGATTTTGTTCAAGATTAACTACTTATACGGATTCGCATGTATTTCAATTTGACAAAAACACGGCATGAAATGTTACGTAAATTTACATAAAAAGCGCCAGAAAACCCCAAGGGCCTTGTGTTGTGACAGCGCTGTTGCAAAGGCGCCAAGTTTTAAATTATTTGTGTTATACCATTTGATGCAAATAAAACACTTGTAATTAGTTTTGCATTTAAAATATTATTTATGTAAAGCATATATGCATATGTATATATGAATGTAAATTTCGTTAAACCAAAACATTTATTAGTGTCTGTTTAAATATATATATATATATATTATATTTTTTGTTTTCTTGGTACGGAACTAATTTGTTGCACTTTACCGTTATGCTTGAATTATTCCCATTTCTATGGCTGTTTCCAATCACTAACTCTAACTAAGACATATCAGTGGTGTTTAATTGTTTTAAAACATACAATACAATAGTTGAAAACACACTACAAGAGACACTGAGAAAAGACTCGTTAAAATACGCAGCACACGCCTCCAATATAGCCATTAATCTTTGTTTTATTTGTTGTTCTCTTTTTTTTTCTTTGTGTAAATATGATTTTGATGGTTTTTTTTTTAGCTTTTTCTTCTAGTAAAATATATGGTATGGTATGTGTGCGTTGAGAGGAGGGGAGTGTAGATTGGGGCCTAAGCTTCTGTTGTGGCCTGTCCGCTTATTGTCACGCCAGCGCTTTCAATTTGGTTGTCCACTTCACGAGCATCCACTTCTCTCCATTCATTTGAAGGGGGTTTAGTTGATATATGTTATGTATAGGTTCTGTTGCGTTAAGGAAACCATTTAGTTGGTGTGTCGAAATGGGAAATATAAGTTTATAGAGAGAGAGAGATCTCAAATGGTGAACTATGTATGTATGTACTTTGCCCCCTTGGGATAACGTTCTTTCTCTTCGCTTTTGCACTCCAGCCCCGTTTATAGATTTTTGCATGGCTAATACATTTACAAAATATATGTATGCATCAATATATAGTATTTGTGTGTATGGATATTGATTTATTTAATTATTTATCGTGTGTGTGGGGGGTTTTGCATGATTTGATTGGTTTGGTTTGGTTTGGGTTTTGTTTTAGAAACGATGATCCATTTAGTTGTTGCCGTTTTTTGTTTGTTTTTTGTGTGTAAATGAGATTAATTATAGTTTTGTTTTGCATGAATATAGTTAGTTCCCCCCGCCCCACGTGTGAGTTGAGTAGTTTGTTCGTTGTGTAATATACATAAATATACATGGATAACGCTAATTGCTGTACGGAGTTTAGCTGGCACTAGACTTGAGTTTAAAATTAATATTAATATTAAATAAATATTCGTCCAAGGATTCAGTTGAAGCTTAAGGGATTCCTCAGGTGTGTGGGGAGTATGGGTTGTGTGGGGTAGGTGCATTGTGTGTATTTCGTGTGTGGGTTGAACGCTTTCTGGTTCTATCGACATGTTTCAGAGTTGTCTAAAATCCAAGTGACACGCACATTCCGATGGATTCGTGTATGTTTTTTTTCTGTTTTTTAGCAACGTTTAATACAGGTATGTATGAGTTTTGTGGGCGTGACTGAGAGTTGTTACAACTAATTCGTAATTAATCGCAGTTACAGGCTAGACACAGAACATTCAGCGGGACGACCAGTCCAGTGAGTGCGACAGAAGCGGTCACATATCGAGTGCGTGTGTGTGTGTATATACCATTATGTACATATACATATATCTATGTATAAGATGCACAAACAGAAAAGGTTTCACAGAGCTTGATATGAAACAAAATACTAATACACGCTCACAAATGAAGGTCTAGGTTAACATACAGAGAACATTAAATAAAATAATCACAATTTTTGATGCTGGAGCAAGTTTTGGAAACTCGCAAAAAAAAAAAACTAAAATCTAAAGCTACTTTTCGTTTCGTTTCCGCTTCGTTCGGAGCTAGCCGGTGCTGCTGGTTATGGTTGTGGTTCCGGTTCCGGTTACGGTTACGTTTCCGGTTACGTGTTCTTAACGCCATCGAGCAGTCCCAGCAAAAACATGCAGATCATCGAGATGAGGGTCAGGCTGAACACCATGGCGAACATAACGATGCAAACAGGCCAACATCAGTCTGTGGCTGCCTTGCGCATTATCTTCCTGGCAAAGCCGATGGCCGTATCTCAGAGAATCTCACAGCAGCGACAGTAGCGCGGCCGTTGTCCGCTTGTCACCGCCGGCGGTGTGCCCGGAGCAAAGTATGCATGCACCTTGATATTTGGTAAATGGTTCTGAAAAATACACAAGAGGCGCACTCGTTATATAGTAATTTTCGCTCCTCTCTGCTCTCACCTTCAGCTTGCGTATGGCGGTGCGTGTAATGAGCTGACAGTCAAATAGTTCGATGCGCTGTAGATTGTGGCACGAAACCAAATGCTCCAGCGTTCGGTCCGTTATCAGCGGACAGTTGTCCAGCTCCAGAACGGACAATATCTCGGCGGCACAGCTGCCAGTGGTCAGGTGCCGTATGCCATCGTCCGTGATCAGTTCGCAGTGCGACAGGGTCTACAGAATTACAAAATTTCGAACATATTTTGTAAAAATTGGAAGTAAGCAAAGGATTGGGGCCATCCTACCAATTTCTCTAGGCCGGGACAGCCCGTGGCAAGATGGGCGAGCGTTAGGTCCGTGATTTGATTGCACTCCTCCAGATCCATGCGCTCCAGATACTTGCAGTTGCGTCCCAGGGCCTGAAACCCAATGTCCGTGAAGTTGCGACACCCGGACACCTCCAGCGTGTTCAGCAGGTGATTGTGCTGCGACAGGGCCATCAGCGAGAGATCAGTTAAATCCGCACACTTGGACACGCACAGTTTTTGCAGTTTGGGACACTTGGCGGCCAATTGGCGTATAGATGAATCGCTTATGGTCTAAGGAGTAACAGAGGAAACTTATAGTATGGGCAAAGGGTAACGAACTATTCCTGGGAGTCCTACCTCACAGCTGTGTACATTTAGCACCATTATATCGGGACAGTATTTGGCCAGGCACATTATGGCATTGTCGTTGATCTGTTTACAACCTTTGCTGCTGAATTTGCGCAGCTTAACGCAGCCGCGGGCCAGCGCCTCCACGCCATTCTCAGAAATCAGATGACACCACGACACATTGATCTCCATTAGGTTCTGCAATGCAATACACATGTAGATCTCGCATTAGTAAGGTTTAACATTCGGATTGGTAAGAAGAGGCTTACCGGGCAGCCATCGGATAGATATTTGAGGCTATTATCTGTTATATTGGGGCAGGAGTCCAAATTGATGGCCGTTAGTTTGGTGCAATATCTGCTGATGGACTGTGTTGATATATCCGTTATCTTCTTGCACTCGGACAGATCCAGATGTTCGATGTTGTGGCAGTGATTCGCTAGAGTTCTACACCGTACGTATATATAGTGAGTAGGTCTGTAAAGGGGGGGGACTTTGGGCATGGACTCACCTTACAGACTGATCTCCCAACGATTGACAGCCACGCAGCGACAGGGACTTGAGAAAACCGCGACATCGTTGCGAAATATTCTCAATTACCGGCCCCTAATGTAGAAAAGTCAATGAAAAAGATATAGATTTGATATGTAGCAAATAAAGTAGTTGTAAGCCCTGTACTCACCTCGATATCACGTTGAAAATCAAATAAATTGATTTTCTGCCAACTGGAACCGTCCAGGGCGAGCACATTCCAGTATTTGCACACCTGCAGTTAGGTGGGGGGTGGAGGAGGGGCGATAGGGATATTCAAATATTCATTAGCACAGGTGGCGAGGGAAGGTACAGGGGGGGAGGCTCCCTTTTACAGACCTGTGCACAGCGGCATAGCGAGACCACATCCAGATAGGAGAAGACCCGCAGCAGTACCTCCTTTGGCAGTTGTTTGATTAGCTCATCGTCCAGTTCGGTGGCGCCTAGGAATGTTTGCTGCAATATGTATGGCACATGTCAGATCTACTATATATAATATGTATGTACATATGTATGTATGCATGTTTTGTATCGTTCTAATTGGAGATGTGATGGCTTTGCTGGGGCCCAACAAAATCAATTGACAAGAACTGAGGCGAATTTTTCTTTGATAGAATGGGTCCCAAAAACAAAAGAAATCGAAATAAAAATTAATAGATAAAATATAATTCTCGAGGAAAACAAATTAATTGATGGAGGAATCATGGGAGTAGAGCGAGAGCGAAAGAGTAAGACAGAGAGAGAGAGAGACTGAGAGAAGGGGGTGGGGTGGGAGGAGGGGTGGCTATGTACAAATGCTTGACCAAGAATGATATAACGACCGCTGAAGGAAATGTCATCGCAGATGGAAACGAAAATCAATTTGTTTTTTTTTTGTTTTTTTTTTGTTTTGGGGTTCTTACTATCTGCTGAGCGGCGTCCGAATCCTGGTCAGGATAACTGTCTGTGCTGATGGCCTCACAATGCTGGAGCGGCAGCTGCTGCTGCTGCTGCTGCCGCCGCTGATCATCATCAGCCAGGCAGGCGGCATCGGGGGAAACCGACAGGCTGGACGAGGAACAGTCGCTCATGGCAGAGCCAGAGGTAGAGGCAGAGCCCAAGCCTGAGCCTGAGGCAGAAACAGAGGCAGAGGCAGGTGCTGCAGTGACCACCACAGGTGTGGCACTCCCGAAAGTGGCTGAGCGCCAGATGCTGCTGCAGAAGCCGCTGATGAGATTTGTGTGTGTGTTGTTGCTGTTGTTGCCGTTGGTAATGACGCTGCTGCTGCAGCCGCTACTGTGATTGTTGCTGTCGTTACCGTTGCCGTTGCCGTTACCGTTACCGTTACCGTTCAGTTGTAAGCTCAAATTGTGATTGTGGTTGTTGTTCGCTTCGGCCCGCTCTGCGGACCCACTCCCACTGACACTGGTGCTGTTGGTGTTGGTGGAGGTGGCGCCTGTTCCAGTGCTGCTACTGCTGCTGCTGCCGCTGCTGAAGCTGGCGCTGGCACTGCCGCTGATACTGCTGCTGCCGTTGGGCGCAAACATTGTGGGAGTCTCCTTTGTTTTGCCTGCTCTTATCAGAAAGTGACGCTTCTTTCTGCGTCTGTCCTCTGCTGCTGCGCTGCGATGCTCTTTCAATCAACTCTTTGGCAGGCGGCACTCTCTCTCACTCCCACTCTCCCACTGTGTCTCTCTTTGCTGCCTCGCCTTCGTGTGTGCGTCTGAAGTCTTCGTCGGTAGCCTCGGCGTCTTCGTGTGAATGCACGATTAAAATATTCACAAATTGCGTCTTCGATTCGTTGCTCCCGCGCTCTCTTTCATCCGCTCTCCCTGCCTCCCCTGCTGACGCGTATGGATCTTCCACTCCTCTCTCTCTCGCAGTTTATTTCGGTAATCTTCGTTTATTTATTTTTAAATATTCGCATCAGCGTCGTCGCTTCCCTTAATCTCGTCGTTGCACCGGGAACTGTTTTTATTTATTTTTTTCGATTGTCGATTGTGTGTGCACGTGAGAAAGATAACAACAACAAAATTATTAAGAGACTGGGCTTCAAAGGTTCGCCTCCCAAGGTTGTCAACGACGGCCGCTCGAGGGTCGAGTGGCGACTCACTTGCTCCGCTCTAATTGAAATGCGCGCCCAACTCAGAGACTCCGAAGAGGGGCGGAAGCGAAGACTGCTGGCCCCGGCACGCCCCCTTCCTGAATCGGCCACTCACTGGCACTCAACTTAAATGAAAAATCATCAAAGCCAATTGAAAAAGGCAATCGAATCGAACGTGCGACGAATTTTTGAGTGAATCGCGAACAAGAATTGTGGAAAAAAACAAGCTAGGCCTGATGTACATACATGTATCATGTACATCATACATATGTATGTATATAGGCTATAAGACTATAAAATACCCTTAGTTTTTCAGCACACAATCCTCTCAAGGGAGATGTATCTATCTTTTTAACCCAATAGGGATCTATCTACCAGAGGTTTTCCACGGTTTTACATCCTCTGAAGGTCACTCCTCTTAGGGGCATCCAAATACGTACAAAGCAAGTTCCTAGTTTTCTTTTCTTTGTTACAGACATTTACAATAATTACAGAAGAAAAAAAACAGTGTAAATATACATATATTGTTATTAAATTGCTATTTATACGATTGTGGTTGAGCATGCATATGTATGAGCATCGAATAAAGCGATTGACCGAAGGTCCAATGAATTATTGATTGCTGGGGGGGATCTTGAACCTAAATGGAAGTTGAGTTGACACTTTTTGCTATCATATTAAGAAAGGCAGGGACACGAATACAATTAGTTTATCAAAACAAGCGAAACCATTAATAACATGTGCGGCGTGTGTGTGTGTGCGAAGAAAGCACTTCTGAAGTATCCGTTCCCGCGAATGCAATCAGAGCAATTACGTGAAGGAACAATTGAGATTCATGGAACACAAGCGATATGTTAAGCGCATACCAACCGCATGGAGCCCACCCAAGTACAGTGGTCGCTCAGGAACGGCAATCCCAATACCTATAGAGGTGTCTTGGATGCTGCGAATTCGTTCAAATGTGATGTACACGGTTATAGTTTCTGGAAATTTCCAAGTTATGCAAGTTCTCTTTTCGGAGGGACCATCGTAGCTCAAATTCAATTCGCTTTGAGTGATAGAAGCGACAAGTGCAAGGCATTTCAGTTGATTGTTGTATTTTGCATGCTTTATTATTTATTTGATCATGCAACACATGGCGAATACGTAATGTGAGCCACAACACACACACACATAAACACATACCGAAGCTCCCATGCGAAAGCTTTATAAAAAAACAGCTGACAAACGTAGAGAAAGGGAGAGGGAGTGAGGAAAAGGATAGGAAAAGGTGGATGTAGATGCGTGTCAAAGGCTTTGAATTTGAAAAACGGTAAGCAAATTAAAAATTCCCGTTCAGGAATTTTACTTGCTCAGTGACCTCGAAAAAAAAAAGGTAACAACACACCCACAGTCAGACAAATAGGGCCACATGACAGCCAGTTCTCTGCTGCTGCTGTTGCTGGCTGCATTTTATATAAGCCATGGCCAAAGTCAGTTGGACAGACACCACCAAAAGTTTAACTGTTGGGGCCGCCATCGATGGCGATGGCCAAGCTTTGTGCTCTGTTCTATTTACTGCAATATACATATGTACATATTATGTGCATATGCTTATATAGAATGCTACTGCAGCAACAAGGTCAGCGAGGAGAGCAGAAAACTGGGTCAGCCCCTCCAAAATGGGTTGCATTTAATGTTTGTTGCTATTGTGGCCGATGCTTCAGATAAATATAGCACACAGCACACACACACACATGCTCTCCAAAACCTTATCGCCAGGCCCAACAATGGCACGCTTAAACGGGCCTAAGAAAAACCAAAGAAAACAGCTGATGACACACCAAAAACAGACGAAACAGCACAAAAAACAGCAAACGAAGTGCAGCAAAAAGAACTTAAAACGGTATTTGCAACAGCAGCAATACACACACACACACACACAGAATTTTCTCTCTCACTCACTAGCCCACACACACGAAGACACTTTTAAAGTACACAAAAACATACACAAAATTTACAACAATATACCATTTGTTTATACGTTCTGCTTCCGCCGAGCTATTATCGCCTTTAATTGCATGAACGCCAAAGACCCAGGCGGGGTATGTTTTGTGCAAGAATGGATTTTCAATAGTTTTTCCAGCAGTTTTCGGTTTCGTTTCGTGTCTGTTGCTGCGGCCTGGAAAAGTGACTGAACCAACACCAGCGGAAAACAGAAAACAGAACCAGGGTAAATGCAGAGGCGCGCGAGACACACTACGGCTAAGGCGAGAATGACGGGCAACCACAGCGAAAGCGAGCCAACATCGATGAAAACAGAGCGCCGAATGGGGAGTGAAACTGAATGACATCGAGATTGAGCGAGCAAAGTGCAGAGGAACAGCTGAACGCGACGGCTCGGTTCTCTCCGACAAATGCACGCCAAACAGAGGTCAGACCCCCACAAAAGAGAGCGAGCAGCCTCGTCAGCTGCTGCGTGCACGAAGGGCGTGCGGGGGCGTCTTTTGGGGCGGTGCAATGGACCCACGCCAATAAAAGAAATGAAAGCAAAAAGAAGTGCAAAAAAAAATAACAAAGTCTCAATAAGAGCGAGTCTGTTTGCGCGCGCGTGTGTGTGTGTGTGTGTGGAGAGAGAGGGAAGGTAGGCAGAGTTCAAGCTACAGCATGAACATTTTTGTATGCCCTTTGAAAAGCCATTTGAACTTTTAACTGCGGCGACAACAAATGTCCGCACATTAATTGTGTGTGTGTGTGTGCGTCTCTTCAAAATACTTTGAACTTTTAAGTGGGTTTGAAAGGGGGAGGGACAAATTTTAAAACCAAGAACTTCATTAAAATCTGTCTAAAGGGTATCTCTCAAAATAAACTGTAAATTCCATGAATTGGCTTGCTCTCTCCCCCTCTCTCTGTTATTACTGTTACTCTCTTGCGCTTGCAAATCTGCTTAAGCTGTTGCAGTGCTGCCAGACCGCTGCAGCAACATGCGCCCGTCAGCTGTTTATCTTGACGAGCAATCTGTTTACTTTCGTTTGTTATTGGTTTTCCGCCTCGGGGCAAGGCCTAGATAAGTGCCCATTGGGCATTGCGAATCGCTATAAGCTCCAAATGAATAAGTGCTCCATTCCATCGATTAAACCGTATGAGAACGCAATTTAAACCAGTTGATTACCCCACCAACTGTGTTGTGGCCACCCAACCACCCACCTCCTCTCTCTCTCTGTCAATTAACACTATTCTAACCATTTCGGCGACGCAGAAACTCTCCCCCTGCGCTGTTTGCTTATCTACACTGTAGTACATATCGCAATTGGCTTGGAGCAGAGTTTCTTCGAATGAAAGAAGTCGCCATTCCCGTCGCTGGTCATTATCTGATAGGGGGTGAGTTTTTCAGTGAGTTTATTGCACTTTTGCCTGGAGCCACCGGGCGGGGGGGTTCAGTGGTTGGGGGGTTGACATTAGACACTTACACTTTTACATTTTTTGTAAACTCCTTTCCTTGTCTTTGTCGACCGCCAACAAAGGCGATGACTCCTGCTGGTGCTGTTGATGAGGATGAGGATCAAAGCGAGCCCAGGAAACAAAGAAACTACATCTAGTACGGGAAAGAGGGGGGGAAACAGGAATCTGTTGACTGACAAACATTTGGGTGGAGAGGGGCGAAAGAGAGTAAACACACAAATGGGAAGCCAGTCAGAGTAGTGAGGTGCGGAGCCTTAAGCTGGGGGAAGACCCCTGCGCAATACCCCAAGCCACATACCACACACACCCAAGCAAATCCATTCTTGCACTCCCACGTTGCAGGCAGCACAGCATTAATTGCAGTTGTTTTTGACGGGGTTTATATACATATTTATATACCAAGTAAATACATAACTAAACCTGATTCACAGCTCTCATTGGTTATATTGAAGAAAAGTGCAAAGGGGGTAGGGGTACAGTACAGCAGCGGAGTACTTTCAAGTTGTTTACTTACATCGAATCGATGAGGATTGCGTCCAGAATTGGTCATTTTAGCCTTGCGATTTGTAAAAATCAAGAAATGCAGCAGCTCACTCTCTGTTCCGCTCTCGTTCGTTCCCCTCCGCCGAAGCAATATTCTTTGTTGGCCGGCTCTCCTCCTCTCTGCTGTGCCTCTCCCACAGACACACACAGACACAGCTTTTGGCTCTTTGTGTGCTTGCGTGCTTATGTGCGTGTGTGTTTGTGAGCAGGAAATTATGCGTCGCTGATATTGTTGTTTTTCTTCCTCTTCTTGTTGTGATTACTGTTGTTGCCTTAGGTAGTTCTTTGTTCTTTTGCGTAGCAATTGTTTAACTCCTGCTGCTGTCTTTGCATTCTTTTCATTGCAACTGCATTCGCTGCAGTTTTTCGCCATTGACATTATTGCAACCTGCAACTTCGATTGGCCAATCCACTGCTTGATGCGTAAATAAGTTTTTCTCTTTCAGGCATTTTTTTTCGCTTCTCTTCTCCTGTGAGCCGCCACTGGCCTGCACTTGTTGCTGCGTTTTTTTACTGCCTTTCGAAATGTTAGTTTTTATGTAATTGCCAGTTTTTTCATCGCTTTAATAAACTGCAATATGCACTGCACTCAGAACTAAAACTGCACTCCAATTGACTTTCCCAATGTCGGGCCACTGATTGATTAAGTTTTCTTTATATTCTGCTGCTTGGTTTGTTCCTTGCGTTATGCTAATTAATTAATTAGTTTTTATTTTTTCTGTTGTTTACATTGTTTGCGGCCCGAGAAAGATTGTTTTTTGTTTGTTGGCGATGAAGTAGAGGTGTCAAAAAATCGAGGGCACTATCGATAGTATCGATGTTATGGTAGCCGCTACTATCGATGGTTTTCCTGATACTATCGACCTACGTATCTGTCGCTGTAATTTTATACGCTGAAATCGATAAGAAAATTTAAATTTCTGCCGAAATTTGAATGAAGAATGAAGAAGAAAAGCCAAGTACAGCGGGGATGAAGTGCATCACTACATCCAAGTACAGCACCCTAATTGCTGTATATAATTTAAAAGTATTTAAAATTGTTGCTACCGATTCATACCCGATTCAGAGCAGAGAGAGCTGAGTGGTGCGCGCCAAATAGAAATTGTTTAAAAGTGAATGAGCGATAGGGACTTAAATGCAATAAATTGGAGAGAGCGATTTGAGAGCGAAAGTTCAAAAACCCATTTGTTCTTAAATAAACCTTTGAAAATTAAGATGTCTGTCTGAATAACGGAAATCTTTTTTATTTTTCTCACATGGCAACTACACAGAGATGCAATTGTCAGGGAGGCACCTAATGAGGAGACATGACATTTCTACATTATTTTTAAATCGGTGTGTTAGCACAACAAGGTGCGTTCAAAGCCCGTTAAACCAACAATATTTTTTAAATATTCCCGTATGTATAAAAAAATATGAACAAACAATAGGCTCATAAAATATGTTGTTTTTTTATGGCGATAACAAATGCAGTGAATGCACTTTGTTGTGCTACGAGAAGAATTTACAATCAGTACTATTAACGCGGTTTAACTCAAGTTGCACATCTGTTAAAATAAGAGAGGGTTTATTGGGTTAAGTTCGATTTTATCGATATCCACTGTTGATATGGCCGCTTGTCAAATTGCAAAATTCTGAATCTAAATTAAGAAAAATAATATAATAGAAAATAATCTATATTCTTACAATAAGAGAAGTACAATGTGGCCGCTTGTAATGGCTGTCCTCAGGCGCAATGCCGTTTACATAACTCTGCCCATTGCCGGCGTGGTGGGCTTTATCGGCTATAACCTGGAGAGCCTGCTGTCTGACAAATATACCCCATACAGTCGTAAGTGAACGTGCCGAAAGAACTTTCTAGTTGGTCTAAAACGTATTTTGATTACCTTGCAGCCTCCATTCAGGAAGTTCGCTCCAAGCGCTTGTCCGAAGAGAGCCTCACAACGAACGCCGACAAACTGGAGAACCTCCGGCTGAGCGGTTCTGTCCTGGAGCGAAATCTGTCCCCTTCCCTGCAGCCAAAGGCCTGAATTAAAAGTTATACTCTGTAGATACTAGATAAAATTAAAAAAATATTTAAAATCAAACTGCAACTAAAAAAAAATTGTCACTGACGGACATCCCTTGCGGGGATCGAACCCGCGACCTTTGGATTAGAAGTCCAACGCGCTATCCTCTGCGCCAAAGGGACAAGTGGTGGACGCTGTGCCAATGACTCACTCGAACCCAGTGGAGTTTTGACAGCTGGAATCCCGATAAAATACCTCAAACCATCTTTAATTGCTTGATTATATATCCAATAATTAATTACCATACATTTGGAGTTCATGCTGAATGTTTTCATTCTAAGAGTAGAACGTTTGACTATGTTGAAATGTTCCTTAGACCGGAATGAACACATCGCCTCGGTGGCGCAGTTGGCAGCGCGTAAGTCTCATAATCTTAAGGTCGTGAGTTCGAGCCTCACCCGGGGCATGTAACTTTTTTGCCTTTTTTATTATTTTCCTTTTTTTATTCAATATGGAATAAAGTATAGTTTTGATTTCTTCTTTTACAATTTCACTTTATTTTTAGAATATTTAGTAGACAGTAGCAGACTTTTAGCTTAACTTAATTAATGGATCTAATGGATCGAGTGGAATATCAATGTGGTTTACTTTCCCATGCGCTGAATGGACCACTCCTGCTGGCAGAGCGGACACCGGTTGTTCTGCTTGACCCACAGCGACATGCAGCAGTGGTGGAAGGAGTGGTTGCACTCGCCCCACACCACCACACAGTCTTGCCGTCCCATCACATCTCGCTTATTGTCCGCCTGGCAGCGCAGGCACGAGTCTGGAAGAGATCAGAGAAAGAGAGAGCAGGCATACGTTAGCAATTGACGACAATGAAGAGTCCCCGCTTACGGGTGTGGACTGGTCTTGAAGTGCACTTGGCACTTGGCAATGTCCGAGCCGCGTCAAATGCGACACCAGCGACATTGAGCGACAATTAGCCGATGCCTATGACGCAGGCTTCCCTCCATCACATTATGATGCAAAATTATCCACAGGCCCTTTCTATTTGCAGTATCTATCAGAACTATTTATAGGGTGCTAAGAACCCTAAAATCCCCCCAGGTTAATATTCCTCTCCTTATCTTACTTTCTTATGTTAAAGCAATAGTCTGAGGCTTATCAAAATTCATGTTAATATCGACAATTACCTCAAATGGCAGTCATTTGATATGCACGGTGAATCGCCTGAATCGCACTTCATTCAGAAAATATTCACACCAGAAACTGCCAAGTACTTTCATTCAACAAAAAGTGCAACGAAAATCATAATTCATCCAACCCATGGGGAGGCCATCGAGCCTTTCCCCGTTTTCGGTGGGTTTTCGTGGGAGAGGTCACTGACTCAGCGGCCCAAATTTGGGAACGCATCGGTTTTCAGTGCTGCCCAAAAACGGTTTCTCAGAACCGCTGCGAAATTTCGCCAAGTCAATGCAAAAATGGTTCAATCATTGCGTTTGTGTGTGTGTGTGGATCGGGCATCACCTGAGCCGCTTGAGAGACCTGCAGGTGTTGGTGTTCACATTTCGAAATATGAGCGCGTTGGCAGAAACTTTACATACAAATCATTCGAAAAACGGGCTAAATGCGTCGTCGTCGTTGGACATGACGTGAGGCATCAAGTATACGCCGCTGTGGCTGCCGGTGCATCGCTGTATGCTGCTGACTGGGGCAGAAAGAAACCCACAAGAATAATGCTCTGTCCAGTGGAGGAGTCGACTATCAGACACCCGCTACTCGGATTTGTTAATAACCAAAAAAAGGGGAATCCCCTTTAAGCACTTTAATGGTAGTGGTAATTCAATTCAATATATGAAAAGTAAATCAGCTTTTAATGTGATGCCCGCCCATGCCAATACACCCCTTGTGCACCGTGCACCCTGCACCCTGCACCGTACAGCAAACCGCGGATTAAGTACAAGGGAAATGTGATTACTTCGATGAGTCAAAGAATTATGTTATGTGGTGTGAAAAATTACCATTCGATTTCCCTGATTCATGTTTTTGCTTAATTTTGTATTTCTTTTGTTAGTTGTAATTGAAAACCGAACGACAACAGGAAATTGTTAACATATTTCCAAGAATTTCGCTTTCCTTTTTTTTTTGTTTTTTTTTTTGCACTGCAATGAAGTCAATAGCCGTTTGGGTGGGGGAGGAGAAGCAGGGTGTTGTTGCTGGGGCTCTAATCGAGGCTTAAATGCGTTCTTTCAATAAATTCGCTTATGTGGGCGGTAATTTTGATGGGATGGGCCTTTGAATGGGGTTACAGCAAAAGGTTCAAAAGCGGCTAATTGCGTCGTTCATTTCGGTTTTTCACATGATTCAAATTTATACGAGGAATTGAAACTCCGATCCACACTTATCCGAGGCTCTAGATACGCTTTTCACAGCAATTAGGCTATTTGTTAAAAGGAATAAAGATTATTGTCAATCTTTCGATCAAGAACTCTTTGAATATTCTTTTGGCGCCTTAAGAGGCTTCTGCAATAATCACGAGTACCCTCTGTCAGGGTATCCAAATTGTTAATTATATTTAGATTGATATTTAATAGTCAAAATTGGTTTATAATGTTCCATCAGGCCTTTTCACTCTGACCGCAAGTCGTACAAATTCCAGATCATTCTGTGAAAATGCGCCCAAGCCTGATAATATTGCTGGCGGTCCTGCTCCAAGCAGCGAGTGTGGGTAAGATCAACGCCAGATGGGATCCAGCCACTCAAGGCACTTCTTGCAGGCCACCCGCCTGCTGAAGTTCACCAACGTCAAGTGCCAGGATCTGCCCACAACGGCGGGCTTCACCAGATACGAGTACTGTCGCCTGAAGGTGGTGCGGCGCAACCACGTGGAGCTCTCGCTGAAGGTCAGCCTGCTGCAGCTGCCTGTGCGCAACCTGACCACGCGACTGCAGTGCTTCCAGCGGCGCGACGGCTACCGCCCCTTCATGTACAACGTGCTCTTCGACTTCTGCAAGCTGATGGCCGCCACCAGCCGCGAGCTCTCCTTCGAGCGCTTCGTCTTCGACACAATCCGCAAGCACAGCAACTTCAACCACTCCTGTCCCTGGAAGGAGGTGGGTTCTATTCTGGGGTCCGCTCAAAGCCAATGCTCATATATCTTTCCCTTTAGAACCACATGACGGTGGATAAGTTCGGCCTGGATCCCACGAAAATAAATTTGCCATTTCCTGCGGGTGTCTATCGCTTGGATTTCACCTTCTACGCATACGGCATACCACGCACATTGACACAAGTGTTTTTCGAGAAGATTGACTGAAAGACAGAAAATCAACCCAGATCCTAATAAACATATGTTTTCCAGTGTCTATTAAACTTGAACCGGTATACTCGCACCTCTCTTTGCTTCCGTCAGAAGAAATATGAGTTACGCAAGGGGAAATTTCTAGAAAACGATCTAGGGCAAACACTTTACACATTACACTACTACGTATATACTCGTACATAAATACTTACGTGGTATGGTACGATCGTTCAATCAAATATCATCGCTATTTTCAATTTACATACAGTGTGTACCCAAAGTTTGTTCATCGATTTGTTGTGTTCCCTATTTAGTTATAAATGTGTAGCAATGTGCAAGTCAATCAAGTCAATAAATAATAATTACGATCGTCTAGATGGATCTACGATGGAATATTTTTAGAGGGCTCGCCTGTCCCAGGAACAGTGGAACAAAGTTGGGTCCAAAGAGCGGGCAAAGTGGTGTAAATATTTCGAAAAAAAAACTATCCCTAATTTCATAGTTTATATATTCACGTACATAAATATATACAAAAATGAATCATATAAATTCGTGGGAAACGCCCACAGTACAGGCAGGGACAAGAACCTCTACTGCGTCGTTGGAAATCTTCGGAATTGATTTATTCATTCGACTCTTTTCCAATTGCGATCGTTCAGATCGTAGTAGTAGGGCCTGCCTCCAGGGGGTGTGTCATGGGAATTGGTATTTATACTATAAGGAAGATACATACTATACGACGTACATATATGCAAAACGACAGCCAGACGACAGTTGAGCCCCAACACGGGTTAATTAGAAAATGTTTACTGTCAGATCACACGAAGCGCAGACAAACGAAACGTGACAATGACGCCGAACCCCAACCCCAACCCCAACCCCTAACCCCCTTCCCACCCAAACCCTGTTCAAGGGACTCTCAGGTGTAAGGCATTACACAATCAAATAACTGAAAAATACCTTCTCAAAGAGTCTGAGACTTTGGAGTACAAAGAGTTTAGGAAATAGAAGAGGGATAGGATGTTTTCCTTTGATTCTTGATGGTATTACCAGAAGGACTCTGCTTATATTCATTCGTTATCCTACAAGAAATTCGCAGTCCAAGTAATCCATATACCCGACCTCATATATAGAGCCCGCTGGCGTCTGTCTGGTAAACCTGTTCGACGGTTATCGGTATATTCGGCCGATACATTCCGACAGTTTGTGGTTAACGATTCTGTAGTTCGTTTAAATTCCAGTTTGCTGCACCTGACCAGACCGGACGCCGTCTGTGGATATATCTGCGGATAAGTGATTCGGATCTAATCGAGTCTGGCGCTGGGTATGCAAATGCCGTACCTCTCAGGGCCGTCTGTGTCTGTGTCTGTGGAATGCAAGTGTAAGTTCAAGGTTAGCGGGTGCAACGGATGTCTGTCTGGGATCGGGAACTAAATTTAGCCTCGCAAGTTCTCGCCAGATCTCGCACATGTGACCAGATTTCTCGCGCCCCAATCGGCGCACGGCGTGCGGCAGGGGGGTGTTCGACGACACCCCAATGGCAATATCGAGTCGATAATTTGTATCTGTGTCTTATCTATCGCCCCTCGCGTCACATGTGTTCTTGGTCTTCTCTTTGGCCTGACGGGCGGGCAGTGCCTCGTTTCAAGTATCACGTTGCACGATTCGTTCTGGTTATCTGCTGCTGCCCCCCACCGTCGCTCCGCTCCCCTCTCTCCAGCACACAACTCGTTTTCTCGTGTTCGGCTGTGTGGCTGTAACCGTCTCGCTTACGTGACGTCACGCACGGGGGCTTGTCGCCCCAGCAGCCGCCATCAGGCGGCCAACAAACAGCGAAACGAACGTGCCCCCTAAAACCAGCTGCGCTGCGCGCTCTTTGGCGCTGCTGCGCCAAGCGGGCGCTCTCTTAAATGCATGCATCCTCAGCCGCAGGCAGAGAAAGAGACCGAATCGATCTCTGTGATGGTGTCTCTGTGGGTCCAAGGTGCATTTGTTTAAGGTGGGGGTGCCTGCATCGGCGGCTGCATGGAAATATACTCTGCGCGTGGAAATTTTAAAAGTGCGGGAGATTTTAAAGTTGACACCGTATTTCTGTGGAAAGTCGCACATGTGACCAAGACGGAGGTGTGAATGTTAGTAGGCAACTGTTAAAGTCACGCTCCACAATGGCGGGAAGTCGGGAGAAAGAACTGGGAACAAATTAACGAGCTGTAGATGATGGGATAATACAATGGGAGTCTAAGTATTACAATACAAGTAGTTAACATGTTTAGATAATCCCCAATGCGATTCGATCATCCTAGAAGTGAGTGATCAGATATTTTATAATGATGAAAAGCACTTACTCTTTATGCGTTTTAGCGGGAATGTATCAAAGATTTAAACATATTTGAGCATTGATCAGAATGGCAGCCCGTCTACCTTTTTTTCTCATCAAAGATCTCTCAATATTTTCAAGGTTGTCCAAGTGCAGCTAACCCAGTGACCAACTTGGCCGCATCTGTCGCATCACGTGGAGATCTCGATCTCGATCTCGATCTCGGGAACATTTCTGCAACGTTCGCTGTAAAATTGCGCAGATAACGAACGCCTCATACACCGATGCATTTTGTGGCTACTGGTAGTGGTAGAACCCTGCATACCCTTCATACCCTTCACCGAGACCATTCGCGAAGATCAGCGAACGAAGAAGAGATACACAGACGGTGGAATTTGTACTGTGCAAACTTGAAATATGTGCAGTAGTATGCCGTCATCGATAGGACCCAAAAGAGAGGCGAAGAGAGTGAATCATGTGGCCGTTGCGGCGGCAGAGAGCTCAGGTCCATGACAGTGGATGCGCCCCACAAAGTGAACGGAAAATTTTGTGATTGGTTGATTTTTTGTTGTATTCTGCTTTTGAGTCGTTTCTTGAATGTTTTCACCCTGCATTTGGACTCCGTCCCCTTGGAATTCTGTGTGTGCGTGTCAGTCGTCTGGCCTGGTACATTTCCATAAAATTTTCCATTTGTCCTAAATATAGGATCCACCAACAGGCGCCTCCACCTCCAGGGGGGGACCACATTCGAGTGCATTGTCGTTCGGCGTGGGTAGCGAAAGTTGTTTCGCTTTCTGCAGCGATTCCTACCCGATCTCGTTGACCTTGGAACAGTTTTTTCTTTTGGCACACTTTACATAAGCAGTGGAGCACCAAAATGGTGTCATATATGTATGTAAAAGGCAGCAGATAAGCTGCCACTTACAGGTGCACGTTAGAAGGTGAGAGGCCCAGCCCAAACCCAGGGAATCCTTGAAATTTCATGTTTCTCACTCGAAACTGAAGACATTCAAACGTTAGATTGCCAATTAAAGTCCGACCTATGGCAATACATCGTACGACTGCTATTATATACGTTTTATTATCACAAATCCCATCTGGTTGGAACTACTTTCCGGCTGTGCTCCCCAGTGAGCAAGCCACCGCGTGACATGGGCCAGAATTTTTGATCCACGCCTCCTGATGCACTTGCACTTGCCCTGATCATCGCACCGACTGGTGGCTGGGTTTGTTTGCTTTGTCTCGTTGCTAGCTGGAAGCGTGAAGGCGGCTGCCCATTTGGCATCTGGGAGGTAATGTCACTCGTAATGGCCGTGTAATTGCCCAGTTAACTGCAGCTCTAACTGCTGACTGCCTGCCAGCCTTTTGTAATCGTAATACTCGTAATCCCTGTCCGCACGATAGTGTAATTTCATTTTAGAATTTATGGCATTACCTGTTTGCGGTTTTTTTTGCTCTTTTAGGGTTTTAAACACATAAGAAAGATTTACTGGCACTACTAAACTCGTTTAATAGTGCTAAAAAGTCAGAGCCTAGTAACCAAGAAGAGAAAAAAAAGAACAGAAGGAGCAAAAAAAGTTACATGCCCCGGGTGAGGCTCGAACTCACGACCTTAAGATTATGAGACTTACGCGCTGCCAACTGCGCCACCGAGGCCATGTTCTTAACGTCGGCCAAGTGCCTACATGACACTAGGCCACGTGGCGTATGTCTGGGCCACTGGCACTGCATTTCGCATGGACTTTTTGTTGTTGCCCAGAACAATGATGTGATATCGAAATTACTCGCCCTTCGCCGAACATTTTTGCACGTAAATCAAGGTTGTGGAATAATATTATTTCTCACATATTCTTCCAATATTTGTGCATTAAATTAATTGTAAAATAAAAGGTTGCATCGAAATGTTTTGTGTGGTTTTGAGATTGTTTAATTGGGATTGCGTTGTGGAATATTGTCACAAACGATTGCTTTTTACAAATTGATTTGAATACTAGACTAAAGGATCAGAATGGATAATCTTTGTTTTTGCATGGAATTTCTTTGGATGGAATTGTATATTACGAGCCTCGTGGTGCTTTCACAGCAGCATGTTAATTAATATACAGACTTCCAGACGGTTATACAACTCTGACCAAATCTGACCTAATACATGGTCCCCCCATCTATCGAATTCTTTTTTTACCATTTCAGGAATGTGCATATTCATGAGGCCGTTTAAAAATACATATCTTGTCTTGCTCGTAATCAATTAAAGCTACCGAAACCTGATGGAGACCGTGTTCGGATATTTCTATAGCTATTCGCAGACTGGATGTATGCTTGTGTGGGTCTAGTGGGTATGACTAATTAGTCAATGTTAGTCGGCGAACTACGTAGAGTTTAAGCTTGTTTTAGAAACTTTGCAAATATTCGCTGATCGACGGCGGGGAGTCGGCGTAACCTTGAATGAAGGGCAGTGGTTTGCCATTTAGCCATAATTGCTGTTACCTGTACAATACACACGAATATAGACAGACAATCGTACACGCACACTCTCTCACTCTCCCTCTCTGTCTCTCTCTCTGAGAACAGGTATCATGTGCACACGTGTTTGCTGTTGTACTAGGTAAGCACTTCCCATTGAAAAATTAGCCAACTCAAGAGCAGCAACAAAAGCAACAGCAATATATATAAATAGAAAGCAAAAGTCAAATTCTAATGATTAGTTAGTACAAAAGAGAAAAACGC